GCAAGAGCAAGCGATGATAGGTGTGCTTGCAGTACCAAATCCAGTGACCATACTCATATAATACAAAGAGAACCAGGCAACTTTACATATATCACATTAATATTAAAGTAAAGATGTAAGAATTAACATTGTGATATGGTTTGGTTGTGTCCCCAAGTCTCAACTTCAATTGTAGTTCCCATAATCCCCATGTGTCATGGGAGGGACCCGGTGGGAGATAATTTAATCATGGGGTGGTTACCCTCATGCTGTTCTCCTGGTAATGACTGAATTCTCACGAGATCTGATGGTTCTATAAGGGGATTTTACCCTTTTGTTTGGCCCTGCTCCCTGCTGCTGCCATGTGAAGAAGGGCGTGTTTGCTCCCCATTCTGCCATGACTGTAAGTTTCCTGAAGTCTTCGTAGCCAGCTGAACTGTGAATCAATTAACCCTCTCTCCTTTATAATCTACCCTTTATAATTTATTTATAACAAAGACATACAGGTGTGTCTTTATTAGCAGCATGAGAGCAGATTAATATAGTAAACTAGTACTGGTAGGGTAGGGTGCCGCTATAAGGATACCCAAAAATGTGGCAGCCACATTGGAACTGGGTAACAGACAGAGGTTGAAACAGTTTGGAAGGCTCAGAAGAAGACAGGAAAATGTGGGAAAGTTTGGAGCTTCCTAGAGATTTGTTGAATGACTTTGACCAAAATGCTGATAATGATTAGGACAATGAAGTCCAGGCTGAGATGTTCTCAGATGGAGATCAGGAACTTGTTGGGAACTGGGGTAAAGGTCACTCTTGTTATGCAAAGAGACTGGTGACATTTTGCCCCTGCCCCACAGATCAGTGGAACTTTGAACTTGAAAGTGATGATTTACAGTATGTGGCAGAAGAAATCTCTAAATGGCAAAGCATTCGAGAGGAAGCAAACATAAAAGTTGGAAAGTATGCAACCAAAAGATGAGAAAAGAAATTTTTTTTTTCTGGGAAGAAATTCCAGCCTGCTGCAGAAAGTGGCCTCAGGACATGGTGCCCCGTGTCCCAGCTGCTTAAGCTCCAGCATGGCTAAAAGGGGCCAAGGTACAGCTCAGGCCATGGATTCAGAGGGTGCAAGCTCCAAGCCTTGGCAGCTTCCATGTAGTGTTGGGCCTGCGGGTGCACAGAAGTCAAGAATTGAGGTTGGGGAACCTCCACCTAGATTTCAGAGGATGTATGGAAACACCTGGATGTCCCGGCAGAGGTGTGTTCACGGAGAGGGGCCCTCATGGAGAACCTCTGCTAGGCAGTGCAGAAGGGAAATGTGGGGTTGGAGACCCCACAGAGTCCCCACTGGGGCACTACATAGTGGAGCTGTGAGAAGCGAGCCACCATCTTCCAGATCCCAGTATGGTAGACCCGCTGACAGCTTGCAGCTTGCACTGTGCTCCTGGAAAAGCTGCAGACACTCAATGCCAGACTGTGAAGGCAGCCAGGAGGGGACTGTACCTTGTAAAGCCACAGGGGCAGAGCTGTCCAAGGGCATGGAAGCCCACCTCTTGCGTCAGTGCAACCTAGATGTGAGACATTAAGTCAAAGGAGATCATTTTGGAACTTTAAGGTTTAACGACTTCCCTATTAGATTTCACACTTTCATGGCTTTGTTTTGGGCAATTTCTCCCATTTGGAATGGCTGTATTTACCCAATGCCTGTACCCACATTGTATCTAGGAAGTAACCAACTTGCTTTTGATTTTACAGGATCATAGGCAGAAGGTACTTTGCCTTGTCTCAGATGAGACTTAGACTTTTGGGTTAATGCTGGAGTGAGTTAAGACTCTGGGGTACTATTTGAAGGGCGTGATTGTGTTTTGAAATGGGAGGACATGAGATTTGGGAGGGGCCAGGGGCAGAATGATGTGGTTTGGCTGTGTCCCCCACCAAATCTCATCTGGAGTTGTAGTTCCCATAATCCCCACATGTTGTGGAAGGGGCCCAGTGGGAGGTAATTTGATCATGGGAGCTGTTCTCATGATGAGTGCATTCTCATGATATCTGGTGGTTTCATAAGAGGCTTTTCCCCCTTTTGCTTGGCACTGCTCCTTGCTGTCACCACATGAAGAAGGACGTGTTTACTTTATCTTCTACCATGATTGTAAGATTCCTGAGGCCTCCCCAGCCATGCTGAACTGTGAGTCAATTAAACCCCTTTCTTTTATAAATTATCCAGTCTCTGGCATGTCTTTATTAGCAGCATAAGAACAGACTAATACACATTGTAAATCTATGTTTTAAAAGATCATTCAAAAGAAGAAAGCAGAGAAACTGACATCAACTTACTTTAACAATGAGGAGTTTAAGGTTGAAAAAAAATCAAGGGTTATTGTACAGGAAACCTGAACAAAATCTAAATTCTTTTGTCAAAAAGAGCAGGCCAAGAGTGAAGACAAACTATAAATGTCACAATAACATTCCCAAAAGCAAACAATGAATATAATTTCATAATATCTATCTGTTTCTGCATTGACAAGATTTCACACAGAAAAATGTGCCTAATGAAAAGACTCAATCAATGCCTGGTTGGTTTGACATGGGCATTGAAACAAGATAAATGGCAATAAGAAGCATGTGAAAGACCTAAGAGAGAAAAAAATTACCTAATCATAGGTGCAGAATAATAAAGCAATTGATACACTCTGAAGATGTATCACCTTGGATAAAGGAAAGTAATAAACAGGTAATAATAATACATAAGAAACTGTGAAAACGACAGGCTAACCATCAGGCTACAAATCCAAGCATGATAATGGCACTACAATACCCAGAAACAGGAAACAGAAGTCACCTAAGGATGCCCTCAGATATAATTGTTACAATAGGTGAATAAAGTTGTCCAACAGAGAGACTTGCCTGTGTTTGTTGTAACACAGGTATTCTTTTGGACTTAACTGATGCATTTAATAAAAAGTATGAAAAGGCAATCTACCAAAGAAGGGGGGGACACTTGAGGTGTGGTAGAAGCAAGACACTCAATTTCTGCAGGCCTGATTTTCCCCAACTGACTCGTAAGGGACTGTACTAAGCAGTGATTACAGTCCCTTTCAGCTCTGGCCTTCTGAGTGTATAAAAACCAAAGAGAGAGAGAGAGAGAGAGGGAGACTGAGAGGGAAATAAATCAATCAAGACCACTTGTTCCCACATTGATTGGATGGCCTATAGTACAAGGGAAATGTGCTATTTAAATAAAATAAAGATTTAATCAAAGTCAGTGGTAGTTTTATTGGCCAGGAAACTTCTATTAATTTCTGTTCCAATAATAGGTAACTGAATCTAGAGTCATCGAAGTTGAAAATTCAAAACATAAGCAGTATCATTGTTATTGTTGTAATTAAACAGTACAAACTCATTTGAGAGACCAAAAGACATTCATTTATTTGGATAGTTATCTCAACATATAACAGATAATTATGAGTTTTATTTATTCAATAGAAATTTAATCGAGGATCTATTGCGTGTCTTAAACTGTTCCGGGTGCTGGAAACACAAAGGTAAAAGTGATTCAAGCCCTGCAACCAGGGATCTCACTGTCTAGGGAGGGCTACGGAAACAAATGGACAATCATGATGAAATAAGGTAAGGGATGGGAAGGAGTAAGCAGTTCAAAGAGGACAGCTTCTTGGATGAGCGGACACCTGAACTAAATCTTGAATGACTGATGAGCATTACCTAGGTTAACTAGTGATATGTCTGCTTTCCAACCAGAAGGATTGACACAAACAAGGCACAGAAGGAAATGTACAGCCTAGACTGTGTGAGGAACTACAAATGTTTTAACATTGCTGGAAAATAAATTTGAAGGAAAATACCGTAGGTGGAAACAACAGCAAAGACCAGATTGCGGCAAGTTCCTAAGATGTTAAACAGTTTGAATGTTATTCTCTAAGGTTCATGTGAAAAGGTTGTGAGATTTTAGATTGAGATGGAATACCAGAGTCAGTTTAATTCAATAAAGGTAAATAATATTTCATGAAACGTCTGTTTATATTGGAGCCAAGGGAAGGGTGTGTGTGTGTGTGTGTGTGTGTGTGTGTGTGTGTGTGTACTGCATTTCTTACTGTGAGTTAAAATCTAAAACTTTCTACATTGCCCTGCAGAACTACTCTTACCAACCTAGGAAATTAATGGGCCTATTCTTTGCTTCATCAAGCTTGGCTTTCCTTTACATTAGATTTTTCAAGGTGCTAGCATCAATTCAGCTCATCTCTACTCCTTGTCTCTTTAGTTAACCTGCAAATTTGGGGAAACTGTGTAGGATTTGTTCTAGTAATACTTTATCTAAGTAAAGATTGTAGAGTGTTATTAAAGACTTTCTGGCCAGGCACAGTGGCTCACACCTGTAATTCCAGCACTTTGGGAGGCCGAGGCGGGCAGATCACCTGAGGTCAAGGAGTTCAAGACTAACCTGGCCAACATGGTGAAACCCCATCTCTACTAAAATACAAAAATTAGCCAGATGTGGTGGTACACACCTGTAATCCCAGCCACTGAAGAGGCTGAGGCAGGAGAATCACTTGAACCTGGGAGGTGGAGACTGCAGTGAGCTGGGATTGCACTCCACTCTGCGAGATAAAGCGAGACTCGGTCTCAAACTGAACAAACAAACAAAAAGCCTGTTTGTTCTTTCCCCACCATCTTTCCTCCTTATGTCCTCCTACTCTTTCGCCTTCAATCCCCTTCTTCCATGCCCCTCCACAACCTCTTTTTCCACCAGCCTCTGTTATTTTCTCTGGTACCTGATTGGAAACTCTTCATTTACATCTTTTGGCAGCCTGCACCAAAAGTGCAGCTGTTGCTGCTATAGCGCTTCATGACATGTGCCTTTCCAACACCTCTCTCATGCTGAGACTTAGCTCTTATTTAGTAGATCACAAAGCAGGAGTTTTACATTGCTAAAAGACATCCCTCCCCCTGCCCTCGCATCTTCTCTCCAAATCAAACTCACTGCAGCTGTTCTGCTACTGTTGCTTTGCTAGCTCTTTACCTTTGGATGGAGGGAAGATATTCGACCTGGTGAGCCACTGCATACCCGGAAATTCTGCTTCGATGCCATCTCACACAACAGCCCAGTCACACTCTATGACTGTCATGGCATGAAGGGCAACCAGCTCTGGGGATACCGGAAGGTAAGAGGCAGTCACTGTGGTCATTCTCACATTGCTGTGGTTTAAGTTATTCTTACTCAAAGTTTTCTTTGAAAACACACTGTTTTAGATCCAGCGCAGCGGCTCATGCTGGTAATCCCAGCACTTTGGGAGGCCGAGGTGGGCAGATCACCAGAGGTTGGAGTTCGAGACCAGCCTGACCAACATGGTGAAACCCCGTCTCTACTAAAAATATAACAATTACCCAGGCATGGCGGTGGGTGCCTGTAATCACAGCTACTCGAGAGGCTGAAGCAGGAGCATCATTTGAGCATAAGAGGCGGAAATTGCAGTGAGCTGAGATCGTGTCACTGCACTCCACCCTGGGCGACAGAGCAAGACTCTGTCTCAAAAAAAAGGAAAAAAGAAAGAAAGAAAAGATAAGACACTGTTTTGATTAAATGTTTTACTGAGTCATACATACACACATTTGGCTCACACATCCAGAGATCACCAGCAAAGGTGAAGGGAAAAATTGAGTACGTAGAAAGGTGCAAGCTTTTGGCTTCACTTGTTACATGTATGCCCATCACAGTTGGTTATGACTGAAAAACAGCTTTGAGCCAAAACAAGGAATGGGTCTAGTTTGAACTCAGAACACTCTCAAAAGGAAGAACCACATATCCAATAAGCAAAAACACGTATGCATAATTTTTAACAACACCCATCCACAGCACACATACACAGATTACGGTATCCATTCATTTATTATGCATCTCAGGCTCACTGGCTTGGGACCTGTCTGGATTAAGACAATGATGTTTACACAAATATTTATAATCTATGTAGATATAATTGCTGCAATCCTTATACACAAAGTAACCCATTTACGTTTTCACCAAAATCCTGCTCAAATGTAGCAAAGAAGAATTGGAGGAATTTAAAAGTTTCAGAAATTATAAAGTTAACAGTGAATGATAGGAAAAACTCAAAAACATATATAAAGTCACATTTTATTGAGTTAATAAAGAGCAATTAGGTTATTGTTTGAAAATATTTTCACTGTTTCCTTTTGACAACTTTTTAGAATACTATACAAAATTGCTTTTCAACTTCTTTGCTTTTGGGAATAGGACTGGCCATCAATTAGCAATTACTCCATAAGCTCCACTCTGCCCCCTCAAATCCGTGGAACTGCTGGGGACTGCTCAGACATGTAGAAGATGCCTTCTGTTTGCTTTGTCACAATCTGAGGCTAGCCTTGCCTCAGGTTATGAGGAAAATTGAATATCCCCCACTTTATTCATGAACTTGGCCACCCCGTGGCTTAGGCAAGGGAAGAAGTGGTGGAGAGTCAGTATGGGGAGAGGGGACTGGTTATGTCACTTGTTCCCTCACTTAATAAGTATGCTGGTTCCTACCTCTTAGAGATGAGCTTCTAAAACTATACTCACCCAAAGGCAGGCTTGTTTGTATACGTTTAGTCTGCATCCCACCCCCACCCAAACACCCACAGGTTGTGGCTGTGTCCGGAAAAATTACGAAACATCGGTTGGGCTGGGAGCGGTGGTTCATGCCTGTCATCCCAGCACTTTGGGAGGCCGAGGCAGGAGTTCAAGACAAGCCTGGCCAACATGGCAAAACCCCGTAAAAAATACAAAATTAGCCGGGCACGTTGGTGCATACCTGTTGTCCCAGCTACTTGGGACATTGAGGCAGGAGACTCGCCTGTTCCTAGGAGGAACACGCGACTTCCTAGGAAGTCACGGGTGAGCCGAAACAAGGTCGCACCACTGTGCTGCACACCAGCCTGGGTGACAAGAGCAAAACTCCGACTCAAAAACAAAAAAAAAAAAGGAAAAAAAAAAGCCAAAGAAAAAACCCACCACACATCAGTTGTTATATCCTTCTGCGAAGCAATCTGGAATCAAAGGAACAGAGAAGAAGACAGTATCAGATAAAATGAGGCTGGGAGAATAGCACTGCAGTAGGAAAGCCTGACCCTTTTCATTATGAAATGTATAATAAATGATTCATCTTATCAAACTATTTTGCTATTCAGCATGTTACAGTCTGTGTGTGGTGCAATAAAGTAAGGTTTTTTTTTAATGGTTACATTCTGACATGTAAGGAGTTACTTTCTGCACACATCAATAAAATAGCTGATTTACCATTTGCTTAGTGTGTTGGTGGTCCCTAATGAACAGAACATGTCTCATTACTGTACATTTACAGCATGACACACCAACCACTCAATAACATGCAATTAAGCCGAGAAAATGCAGTTGTTTTTATTAGGGAGCTTACAAAAGCTTTCAGGTGGATAAGAACAACTAATACACAGAGCTCCTGGGGAGAAAAAAAACCAGGCTGCAGTGGTTTCAAGGGGAAACTCTCATGAGCTTTAATACTAAACCTTTCCAGGATCCTAAGGGATTTGTGAAAGGAAACCACTAGATGCGATCGTGCTGTGGCTGCCTTCTCAGCTCCTTTTGTAGCTGTTGGTCTTGCATTACTTAGGAAAAGGTTACACTCCATGTGTATTTATACAGCAAGCAAGGTGTTTATACTTAATCAGGAGCATGAAAAGCCTCAAAACGGAAAGTTTCTGAAATATCACGTCTTGATGGATGACTCAGGCCTATTCAAACACACCTGTTTTAGAAAATTCCTCTTGTTTTTTCCAAGGGCAATGCCTAAACATAAAGAGAAAAAGCACAAACAGAAATCTGTCTGGGGTGCCACCTTGTCCATTTGGATGCAGTACCTGGCTCTGCGGGCTTCTGACAGTTTTACGGGGGTTGTTTGTTGAGGCAGAGTTTTGCTCTTGTCACCCAGGTTGTGTGCAATGGTGTGATCTTGACTCATTGCAACCTCTAGCTCCCAGGTTCAGGCAATTCTCCTGCCTCAGCCTCCTGAGTAGCTGCAATTACCATGCATGCACCACCATGCTCAGCTAATTTTGTATTTTTAGTAGAGATGGGGTTTCAACATGTTGACCAGGCTGGTCTCAAACTCCTGACCTCAGGGGATCTACATGCCTCAGCCACCCAAAGTGCTAGGATTACAGGCACGAGCCACCACACCCACCCTGGAACTCCCAGTTTTTATGATCATATTCATGAGATCAATCAGAGCCCTCTACTAATTGACTAAAGGGCTACGTGAGCCATCTCCTAAGCTCCCAAAGTCATCATTATCATCCTCATCATCTCCAACTGTTAAAAAGGCATCAAGCTGGTGGTGCTTTACACACATTATCTCAAACCTCATAACCATTTAGGTTCTACTGTGTATAATTCACACAGGGAGAAACTGATACTAGCAGATATGTGGATTCAAACACAGGTGAATCTGGCTTTAAAGTCTCTATTTCCTCTGCCATGCTTTTAAGGAATAAGATCAGTATTCCCCAGAGGAGTTTCCCAATGCCGGTTGGATTCAGTGTCACTGATACCAGCCAACTCCTCCCTCCCAGCTACATGGAGACATCTTGGAGAGAGAAGGTGGCCAGAGCCACCTTGCTTGAGCGGATGAAGGTTGTTTTTGGGCCCTGCTTCCTGGTTTCAGCAACTCTGACTCAGCTTCTAGTTATTTTTAGATGTGGCTCTTTGCCACCACTAAAGGAAAAGGGCATCCTTATTCTATGATGCTGGGACTATGTTCAGTTGCATAGCTGTTTCCTACAATAACAGGTACCCAGGACGAGAAATCCTGTTCCTGGTTTTATTTTACCACCAGGGGGAACCCTGTTATAAGAACAGTGAATCATTGAAGCAACCTCAGTAAAAATTCTTGTCCTCACCCAGCAGCCGAAACAAGAAACTGTGTTTCCTCTTCTTCAGCCCCCATTGGTCACTAAGACTTGTTACCCGCTCCTCTCCGCCAATATCTCTAAAATCCACCCCCTCTTTGCCATTTCTATAGCCAGCCCCTGCCTGGTTCAGTCTTCACATCTTAGCCCTGGGTTATTGCAATGACTACCCTGCCTCCTGCCCTTCCCCTTCCTCATCTTCCATCCTGAAGCCAGAAGGCAATTTCACAAAACCTCGCCATGGTATTCCGCTGTTTTACGACTTCATTGGTTTACTCATTGAGTAGAAGATAGAGTGCGTTAGCTCCTCAATTCTCATCTGGATCCTTCACAACCTGGCCAACGTAACAGCTGACCATCAGGCCTTAGAGAGTTATTCAGGTTTGATATCCTCCAATTCATCCTGAAATTGTAAGGGGATCTTGAATAGTTGTTTTGCTTCTGTGACTTTCAACTGCTTCACCAGTATAATAATGATAATAACTGAGTGAGATAAACTATGAAACTTCTAGCACAGTTTCTGATCCTATCATAACATTTCCATCTGTGTTGGTGACAATGCACTTTTTACATTGATCATCATGGCAAGGTATGTCCTAATACACCGCATCATTAAACCAATCTCTCCTAAGCCATATTGACAGTTGTTATCCTTCCAAAACTGAGAGCTATATCCCATGCCCTTTTCATTTTAAGTAAACTTTTTATTAGATTATAGCATATGTCTTAATTTGGGTTTCCCCAGATATATAACCTAAAGTAAGAATTTGAATATTCCAAATAAAGATATAAGATATTCCAAATAAAGATATTCCCTATCAGAATATCTTGATGAGGAGTGAGGAAGTGAAATGGAGGAGAGGTCAGAGCCAATAAAGGGTGCATTATCAAGCAAGTACCACTGCAGACAATTAGAGCTCAATCCTACTGAAGATCTCTGGAAATGTAGAACACACATCAGGGAGTCAATCTTTAGGTTCCTGACCAAAGATTGACTGGAGTGGTGTATAAATACCCCAACTCTCTTGATACCGCTGGCCTGCTGTTCTTACCAACAGAACCATTCTTAAGGCCAGAGAAAGTCCTTAAGCAGAAACATGCAGTGGCCAGTAGCTGGACGCACGGCCAGCATGGAAAGGCCTGGAGGGCCATGCCCAGGGTACAGACACCACCAAGAATCCGGCTGCTCTACATCCTCACCAACACTTGGTATTGTCAGTTTCTTTTT